ACAATTTGTTCATTCAAAATGCAATGAATCACCCCTCAAAGCGGTCCTTTTCCGATATACCATCGGTATAAATTTTGCTCATTGCGGCGCTCAGTCACACGTTGACCTATGATTGCGCATGCTCTTCGCTGACTCCGCCCCTGCGCTCAGACACGTTTGTATGGCGAAGTGCGACGACGCCGCATGCTCATATGCTTGACACATAAGTCGAAGCGTATGCGTTAGCCTCATCACTGGGCTAAGCATAAGTGTAAGCTTAAGCATACTCCTGATTTGACTTCAAATTGCATTGATACACATGGGGCAAGGTCTTAATGAAGCACATACGCGCAGTAGCGCCCGTTATCAGCAAAAGTGCCACAGTTTCTTCTAAGCTTCTTTCACAAGCCGCTTTAGTTTTCAGCTTGTCGTTTCAAGGTGAACGAAATCGGAGTCACGTACCAAAATTCACATGAGCAGAATTGCGTGGAAAATATCCTTTCAAAACTTCCTGCTTTTAATATTCTTTAAAAGTCCTTTTTCAATTTCCGAAAATATTTCAAAAATCATTCTTTCAAGACTTACGGAAACAAAATTTCCAAAAATCAGCTCACTGCGATCTTTTAACTGACAATTGTGAGAATGGTTCCCGATAGGGCATTTCATATGCTTTAAAACGTATGTCTTCGATTTTCCCAACAAAGTTTCCATCGAACCGTAATCACGCTTCATACGCGCAAGGGTCATTAAATCTCATGAATATCCTCAGTTCGGCGAGGTGATTTCTAAAAAAAAATATTCCCCACGATCTTCAAGCCGAAAACGATTTATGATCAGGATTCTCATGTGCTCCAAAATTAACCCTGTTGCGTACGACTTATCGTAAAATTTGGCTTGCAATATCTCAAACACTGCCATTGTTTGATGATGCTTCGATCGCACCAATTGTTCATCTCTTCTCTATCTCCATCACAACCACAGTTTCGGAACGATGCGAATTTGATAGTGAGAGCGGGGTGACCGTCATATCCGCACCTAACACTAACAGATGCAGATCAGTTTGAGTGTGCTTAGCTCAAAATAGTACTTCCATTTGCTCGAATCCTTCGACGGTGCTTCAACCGCACCAATTTTCCATATGTGATTCCTCTCTCCATCGCATGCACATTCCTTCATATGTCTGTTACGTGCTGTTCTGTTTCTAGATGTGTAAAAACCGTTAACATACGACCCACGCCGAGCACTAAGGCAACGGAAGAAATGCCGTTCTGATTTTACCAAACTAAAATACAAATTATCGAATTTTTAAATATTGTTCAGTAGTATTATTGAAAATGCGATATTCTTTTACGTAGGCACTCTTGACCTGAAACGTTTTCTTGTTCCTGTGAAGTTCCATACGAATTCGCATGCATGAGAAAAATAATGTTTAATTTTAGATTTATCTCGAAAAATGGTGATTGCTGATGAAAAAAATGTGGATGTGTCAGCCGCAATTAGCAAATATGAGGTAATCGTTATTAATCGATAGCATTTTTGCATTCCTCTGCTTCGTTTTATTCTCAGTTTATTGATAACGAAAGTAGTTGATGTCCATTCAGGCAAGGAGACGTCAGATTGAAGCTGAGGAAGCGAAAAATAGACGAGAAGGACTTATTTCTGATGAAGAGGATGCAAGCATAGATGAAGTGTTCATATCGGCGAGATTACGTCGCAAAGAAAAGGTTGTTTTGATTTGCTCGATTCTCTGTTCTTCACTGTTACTTTGTCACTACAACATTGTTGGTTTCCATTTGGGGTCAGCGATGGGTTTCTTNGGGTAAGTTGATGTTCTCTTATTCTGATGGTGTCATAGTCCATTCATCTTGGTAGTAAATCGTTCTTTTTTTTAAATGTAAGTCGATTCTAAATATTTACTGAAGCTGTGGTCTAATTCTGAGGCGAAATCAACCGGGGTATAGTATTTTGCAAATCGGCGAAATGCTGATAATATTCCGAAATTAACAGGCGAATAATGTGAAGAAAGTGTGTAACTTGTCTCTATTTGGTTGGTTGAGTGCATAATGCAAAAATCATTTCGTTGGTTTTAGATGCATCGAAGAGCTCTACTCAAACAGGTTTTGCATCCAAAAACTGGTGGTCGCGTTATCGGTGCGGAAGAGTCTCGTGAAGATATAGCTGAATTCTTCGAACGAAAACGACAGAAAAAAGAGGAAGAGAAGAAGGCTGAAGAAGCAAAGAAGTCACTGCTGGAGAAGCATAATGAGTTGGTGGAAGCCGAAACGGGTATGCGGATGATCTTTTAATTGTTCAATACTTTATTACTCCTCGCAATTTGGTGTCGTTTCTGATTGTGAAATTTGAAATTGATTTTAGCTCTTTGTTAGATTTGTGTGCAATAGGAAAGTATTGTAGCATCGGTTATTTTGATTTTAGCGATTATTTGGCTTGTGTTAACAGATGAGTATTTTCAGATGATTCAAAAGATACCGAAATGCGTAAACGTGAAGCCGAGGAAAAACTTCTGGAAAGCGTTGCGCCAACAACAGGTATGCATTTTTTTCTTTACGATTGTTTATTTCGTCTTTCATTATCCATTTTCTGGTGAACATACATTCTTTTCCAGATAGAAATTGAATTTAAGTAAGGTATCCAGGAACTTCTATAAGCAATCACATTATCAGATGTGTTGAAGTTGGTTAGTATGCGAGTAAGCAATTCGAGTTGAGTTAGAGCAGCATTCGATTGCATTCCATGAACTGACTTTCATCAGTAACTCATTAACTTGTGTTTGAAATTGACGAACATCACGATTATTTTTCAGCGCTAATGGCTGTAGCAGAAATAGCTGGTGGGGTGAAGTATGAAGAATCTATCAAAACAAGGTTCTTTATTGCATTTTTTTNTTAGAGTTCGCTTTCCTCTCATATTGACTGGTTTCAGTTGTTGTTTTATAACAAGATTTCCGATTGCACGTTTTCGACTGAAATAGGTTCCGGTATAGTAAGTTCTATGTAATGTGTCATTCCGCATTCGGTATTCGGTGATAAATTGCAGCTGGCGCCCACCCAGACACATCTTATCGATGAACGAGGCGGAACATGCAGCAATAAGGAAGAAGAAAGGAATTCTTGTTGATGGCGAAGACGTTCCTCCACCTATTGGAAGTTTTATTGTAGGTTTATCTTTTTCATAAGTTTCCCTTTGCTCAGTTGAATGGTTCCTTTTTATGGAACGTTTCTTATTTCTGTAATTTGATCAGATCAGATCATTACCAGAGTGCTTCATTCGTGCTACACAGAGAGAGATGTATAGATGAAGTAGGAATGTCGTTTTTGTTGGTTCTTCAAACTTTCCTTCCAATTCCGATTGTTTGATGGATGACTATTTCAGGAAATGAAATTCCCACCTATAATAATTCAAACGTTACGAGAAGGTAAAATAATATGTCCGACAGTTATTCAAATGCAAGGCATTCCTGTTGTGTAAGTTTGCTTTTCGTCGTTTTTTGAGTTTCATTTTATTTTTCATCTGTGGATGATGAATAGCATAGAAGTTTAGTTTTATATCCGAATTTTTAATGCGTAATCGATGATTTTAATGTAGCCTTAGGTTATGTCATGAAAAATACGAGGAATTTAACAACATTCCAAACTATTTTGCATGTGCAAAACGACATTTCATTTGGGTTTTGTTTTGAGTTAGTGTGTTGCTGAAATGTTTATTTGCAGCTTGTCGGGTCGTGACATGATCGGTATTGCGTCAACTGGATCTGGCAAAACGTTAACCTTTGTGCTACCGTTAGTGATGTTCTGTTTGGAGCAGGAAATTTCTCTGCCTTTTAGGCATGGCGAAGGACCGTATGGGCTTATCATCGTTCCTTCTGTACGTCCTCTTCCATATCTTGTCGAAAGTGTTTCTAGAATTTGCATCCATCAAAATTACGGATTCCATATTTGTAAAATCAGTAATGGACAAACTGTTCAGAAAAATTAGTCCCGCAAAACGCTAGTTTGCCAAAATTTTTTTTTGCATTTAAAATAATTCGCTTCTAGCGCCGCTGATGAAAAAATATGGGAAAACTTCTTGCTAAAGTGCCACTACTTGAAAAAATAGCGGAGTTTCCGCTAAAACGCTACTTCGAAGAGTTATTTTCCGAATCGCTAATCGCTCCAAATCTTCTTTGAATATTCACTGATTTGTCTTTTTTCTTCACTGTGATTTCTTAGAATGTGCTTTCATTTTGCTGACTCAGCAGTTCGCTTTGAAAAGTGTTACTCTTCACCTCATGGTATCATCTTCTCAATCGTAATAAGCTTGTGATGAGAATTAAGACTGCTTGTATGCGTATGCGAGGAGGACATTATTCCATGAGAGGGATGGTTATTCTGTTATGTAGTATGCGTATTGCAGCGTGAGTTGGCTAAGCAAATTCACGATGTTATCGAGCATGTGTTCGAGTCGATTGCCGATGGATTACCGAGATTGCGTGTTGGTCTTTGTATTGGTGGACTACCAATTGGAGAGCAGGCGCGAATCTTTGAAAGGTCAGAAGTTTGCTCACATTCTTTTCTCATTGCTCACGATCAGTGAGCACTCGCGAAAGTTGAGACAAATGATTCTGAATGGAATGATTGAGGGGAATGGGGTGTGGATGGATTGATGATTTGTATCATCCGTATAGTATCGATACGAATTTACAGAGGTGTACATGTGGCTGTGGCAACGCCTGGACGATTATCGGATCTTTTGGGCAAGAAAATCTTCAATTTGCAAGTATGCCGATACTTGGTTTTGGATGAAGCCGATCGCATGCTCGATATGGGTTTTGAAGAGGAAATACGAACGATCTTCTCTTTCTTCAAAGTAATCAACTGTTTCAATGCGCAAATTTATTCAACTTTTTGGTCTAACACGCGATTACTTCCAATGAAGTGAAGTTTCTTTTGAATCTGAACGAATGATGAGCTAATTGTCTGTTCGGTGTACAGAAGAATTCTTTTTTCGACTGTTATGAAACAAATTAATAATGATACTACGTTTCATTGTTAGAAAGAGGAGAGAATAATTGGCGGAGTCAAATGAGGTTCTTCGTTTTTATGTCCTCAGCCTTCAATAAATACTCGCTGATATTGCAGTGTCAACGTCAAACGCTGCTCTTTTCGGCCACAATGCCTCGTAAGATTCAGAATTTTGCACGGTCCGCGCTAGTTCGTGCAATTATCGTAAACGTTGGTCGTGCAGGCGCAGCATCTTTAAATGTCCTTCAAGAGATCGAATACGTTCGCGCTGATGAGAAGCTTACACGAATACTCGATTGTCTACAGAAAACGTCACCACGGTTGGCATTCGTTTCAATGCAATCCAATCGTTTATCACGGCGATTTTATCTTTTTTTTTCTGACCAGCGAACGAAATGTTTTCATGTTGAGCCGACTTTAAACTTCCTAATGGTGATTCTTCGCTGCTAAATTGAGTACGTCGTGATTTGGTCGGGTTTTCATTTGTGTCTGCTTGATTAGCATAATCGTTTGACGATGAGCCATATTCAGCGTGCTGATATTCGCTGAGAAGAAAAGTGATGTGGATAACATTTATGAATATTTATTGGTGAAGGGCGTCGATGTGGCTTCTCTACACGGTGGAAAAGGTTCGAAAAAGTTTTCTTTTCTACAAGATTTTTGTCACAGATTTCGCAATTCGTAACTACTTTTTGTCGTTCGAAGCTCATATTTAGGTATTAATTTAAAACAGCAGTGGTCAATCACTAATTGCTTGGTTGACCGTTGTTGTCATTTTATCTGCGTCGAGTACAATAGCAACGATCATTATCGTACTCATTTTATATGATCTGCGAAAATTCCTCTGAATAGTTGATCAGTCGATGAGCGAATCATTTTTAGATCAAAAAGATCGGCATACTGGCGTTGACGCGTTCAGACGTGGTGAGAAGGATGTTCTGGTGGCCACAGATGTGGCATCAAAAGGACTTGATTTTGAGAATATTCAACATGTGATCAATTTTGATATGCCCGAGGATATCGAGAATTACGGTTTGTTCGATTAGCGATTGCTCTTCTCCTGAGTGTGCTAGAGTTTCGTTTGGAAAATCAATAGTTTTTCGAAATATTCTCATCATCTGCGTGCTTACTGGATTAGCTGTTTGCAGTGCATCGTATCGGAAGAACAGGTCGTTCGGGTCGTAAAGGAATGGCCACAACGTTTATAAATAGACGTGCAGGTAGGGTGGTTGTTTTGAATATGTCCTTTTTGCTCAGAAAAAGAAAATTTCTTTGCAATTTCATTGTTTGCGCAATGAACGTTTGTCAAAAGTTGGTGAATGTGTATTTGTGCATTAATGTGCTAATTTTGAGATATGTCCGTGCTACAAGATCTTCGTGCGTTGTTGCTGGAAGCAGGCCAAGAGTTGCCGTTGTTCCTTCGAGACATTGCCGATGAGGACGCAGTGCAGAGCAGTGGTGCAGCTGATGGCGAAGACAAAGGGTGTGCCTACTGCTCGGGTCTGGGACATCGCATCACAAATTGTCCGAAACTTGAGAGTATTCAAACGAAAGTATGTTTTGTTTTTGTTTCACGACCGTGCATTACCTAGTTCCTTCTTCTGCAACTTTTATTTCATATAGTTTGATACTTTAATTTCAAATATTGCACTCGTCTTTGGTAGGTTTCGTACGCGTATGTGGTGCATATTCTGTTTTGGCTGTCGGGAGAAGAGCGTGGCTATCAGGATATAGTGATTGAATGAGATGCTCTATAGATTTCCANCAGCTTAGGTTTACGAAGACATCGATCGTATATGTGAACCTAGGAAATTGTGATTTTGATATTGCCGCATTTGATGAATTTTTTCTGTTTTCTCGTAATCGAGTGAATAGAATATTCATTTCTTTCAGACTGCTGCACATCTTGGACGACCCGATTATGGCGCTGATGGAATCTGAATACTTCGATAGATAAAAGACTGATTGATTGCTTTTTGTGAAACAAATAATCAGTGATGAAAACAATAAGACATTCAATTCATTTGTTTTTGGGTTGTCTATTGTCGCTTTCAAAAAATGGTGAGAGTGGTGTAAGTGAACATTCTGATATGAAATATTATTGATCTCCAGAAAGGACTTACCCTATCTGTACATAAGTGGTCATGAATAAAAGACAATTGAGTTTTTTTATACGGCAGACATGACGAGTTATTGTTTATTTTTATTGAATTCGTTATCCTTCGTCTGATTCGTGTTTTTAATCTTGTTTTTGTACAATATATTGCGTATAAATTTGAACCATTTGCATGTTCCACATGGTTTCATGGTTTCACAACGGAAACAATGTTTGAGATTGTTTCCAAACAGATTTAGAATGTGCAATTACTTGGGAGATATTACTACATGATGTGTAGATAGAGACATGCCACGGAAATATGAATGGGGTTTGTACGGGATCCCGGGATTTCAGTTCTGATTTCGGTCCCGGGGTTCAAGTTTTGAAAAATCGCGGGATCTCGGGATTTGATAAAACAGGTCAATTTGTGTGAATTTTG